GTGTGTGTGTGTTCACAGTGTGTGTGTGTTCACAGTGTGTGTGTGTGTGTGTGTGTGTGTGTGTGTGTGTGTGTTCACTGCTGTGTTTGTGTGCGCACTTTGGATGGGTAAATGCAGAACACTAATTCCGAGTATGGGTCACCATACTTGGCCACATGTCACGTCACTTTTTTTTTTCACTTTCACTATTGGTATGTGTTGGACTATTCAATGACTGTGGACTGTTACTGCCCCCTTGAGGAATTACGGAGTATGCTAGAATGTGCTGTAAAGTGCGTCATAAGAATCATCAGTTGTTGGTATAAATCCGTAGAGTGTGGAGTGCACGAGTTTTCCTCATTTCTAGTGGTGTTTAATCGGGTGCGTGCATAAAAAAGTAAGTTTTTATGTTTATTGATCATATTTAACGTGTTGTTTATGGGTTAACGCCATAATTAAGTTTCGTTGAGTTATTTAACTAATATGGCCTATATGGCCGATCAACCAGCATGCATATACTACCTAATTGCACGATTATAATTGTTTATACGGTTCCTCATTGTTTATATGAAGCGGAAGTATATTTGTCTTTATTAAGTGTATTTAAACAGTATTTATACGATTTGACGACATTGTTGAATACGCTAAGGAATGCTTAGTCATGCTGTTATGCACGAGCTATTCTGTGTGACGTCATTAGTGCAAACGGCCGCGGGTTCGATTCCCGGTCTGACCAAAGTTGAATAACTTATAAATAAGGTATTGAAAGTGAAATATATTATTTCTGGATATGTTCTAATGTCTTTCTAACTATTAATATTGTTAACGTTTGCTATTGTTTGTTGAATTGTTATGCTATGGTGAATATTAAGTACTGATATATACAATTGTTTCTACTTGTCTTGTAGAACCACACAAACACCCACATGTTTGTACATGCTAGTGGAATAAATCTTCTGTGAATCAAGAAGCATCTTTGTTGCGTTTTGACCAGACGTACCACCGTGATTAATTCAACCCGAACCACATTAGTAACTACAGTACATTTGGTCCTTCGAGCCGGATTCAGTAATTGCTGTGGATTGCAGAAGATGTTTCCAGACCAGAGGATCAGAGAAGGACAACTAGCTGATGTGGTTCCTAAACGTCGAATACAGCCTCCAGCCTGGTTGGAGGATTATGAGGTTTCGGTGTTGCTACGATTCCGGGAGCACGCTGTAGCTCTTAGTAGAGGAGGGCGATATAAAGGGCATGTTCCATCAAGTAAGACTACTGCCCGAGGATAAGCCCCTCCTCCAATTTTTATGGCGTGATCTGAATAGAGAGGAACCCCCTCGCATTTACGAGTGGCAAGTGCTCCCATTTGGGACTACCTGCAGTCCGTGTTGTGCGACATACGCACTACAGAAGCACGTAATTGATCACAGTCAGCCAGAAGACAATGTCCGCCACTCCCTTGAAAGGTGTTTCTATGTAGATAACTGTCTACAGAGTGTTGCAACACCTGATGAGGCTAAAGTGTTGGTGAACACACTGAGGAATCTGTTGGCAGAAGGAGGATTTGAACTACGACAATGGGCATGCAACTTTCCTAATGTCATCGATCATCTGCCAAAGGAAGCCAGATCAGAAAGCAGTGAGCTTTGGCTTAACCAAACCGAATCAGACCCTCAAGAACTTGCATTAGGATTACGTTGGATGTGTCAGTCTGATACTCTTGGATACAAAAACCGCCTCGACAACTGTCCAACTCCCACAGTGAGAAATATATACAAAGTAGTAGCGAGCCAGTACGACCCATTCGGGTTCCTTGTTCCCTTATCACTCGGGCCAAGATCCTTATACAGAGTCTCTGGGCTAAGCAACGAGAGTGGGATGACCCACTACTGCCAACTGACATTCTTCAAACCTGGCATGATTGGCAAAGGGAATTGCAACACCTTTCCCAAATCACACTGCCACGCTGCTATGTGAGCTCCCAGTTGGATTCCCTTAACTGTAGTCGGCAAGTACATATTTTCAGTGATGCCTCCGAAAGGGCATATGGATCTGTAGCATACTTGCGCACAGAGGATCCAAAGGGAAGTGTTGAAGTAGCCTTCCTCACAGCCAGGTCAAGAGTAGCCCCTAAGCGCCAGTTATCTGTGCCTCGACTGGAACTGTGTGCAGCTCTTACAGGTGCACAAAGGAGGATTTGAACTACGACAATGGGCATGCAACTTTCCTAATGTCATCGATCATCTGCCAAAGGAAGCCAGATCAGAAAGCAGTGAGCTTTGGCTTAACCAAACCGAATCAGACCCTCAAGAACTTGCATTAGGATTACGTTGGATGTGTCAGTCTGATACTCTTGGATACAAAAACCGCCTCGACAACTGTCCAACTCCCACAATGAGAAATATATACAAAGTAGTAGCGAGCCAGTACGACCCACTCGGGTTCCTTGTTCCCTATATCACTCAGGCCAAGATCCTTATACAGAGTCTCTGGGCTAAGCAATGAGAGTGGGATGACCCACTACTGCCAACTGACATTCTTCAAACCTGGCATGATTGGCAAAGGGAATTGCAACACCTTTCCCAAATCACACTGCCACGCTGCTATGTGAGCTCCCAGTTGGATTCCCTTAACTGTAGTCGGCAAGTACATATTTTCAGTGATGCCTCCGAAAGGGCATATGGATCTGTAGCATACTTGCGCACAGAGGATCCAAAGGGAAGTGTTGAAGTAGCCTTCCTCACAGCCAGGTCAAGAGTAGCCCCTAAGCGCCAGTTATCTGTGCCTCGACTGGAACTGTGTGCAGCTCTTACAGGTGCACAATTAGCTTCCTTACTAGCTAAAGAGCTTACTCTGAACATTAAATCCTTTGTACTCTGGCCTGATTCCACTACAGTTCTGACATGGCTTCAGTAGGAATCCTGCCGTTACAAAGTATTCGTGGGCACCAGAATTGCCGAAATACAGGAACTTACAAGTGCACACACCTGGCGGTATGTGGAATCCATCAATAACCCAGCTGACTACATTACTCGTGGGAAGACTCTGAAGGAACTAGCCACAGACAAAACATGGAGACAAGGACCAGATTATCTTTGGCACTTGCCCTGCTACTGGCCCGTTACCCCTGACATAAGCACATCTGAGAATCCTGCT